GGCTGCGCTTAACTCCTTGGAGCCCGGCCTCCGGCAGCGGCCACGCCCCCCCAGGTACGCAACCTCCGTCCTTGGCAGCGACACTCTAGGTGAGCGTGCCTGGGGTGCCGGGGTCAATTGAGTTCAGGCCCGGGTTTAAATAGGGAATTAAGGGCGGACTGCTCAAACGTCTTTGAGCTGCCCTGAAAATCCTTTCTTCTCCCTCGGGTCACGTCCGTGGAGGAATAGGTTCAGGAAGCCTTCACCTGGGCTCCATGGATCAGCATGGCAGATAATCAGACCCCTCAGGCCCAGCCATAATCGTAAGCAGCCCAGCAACCCGTCCACCTTTCCGGCCTGCGCTCCAGCTCCGACTGTCCATTTCCCAGGTTTTTCGACCCCTACACACTAAATGTCTGGAGTCCCTAACGCCTTCTACCTTCTCCTCGGGCGTTAGTGACACGCCAGGACTATAGAGAGCCCCTGGCTGGCCCATCCCTGGCTTGGCCCGATTCCTCCTCACTCCATCCCACCTCCCCGAAATAAAGTTCAGATTCCAGTGCTTCCGCTCAGTGGCCACCCAGCCTGGACCTCCCTCTTTGTCCAAATGACCCTCTATTAAGTGAAGCCTCCACCTGCCGGGAAGCCCCTCCTTCCGCGAGCGCCTGCCCCTCAGCAAGATCCCACCCCTTCAAAGACCGTTTTCCCTCTGAGACCCCTCCCCTTTCCTTAGAAAGACAGTGCCACCATCAGTGTATATCAGAATCCCTCAGTGCTGCACCCCCTCCTCTGTGTTCCTCCCACTCAGTGAGACCTCTCTGGGTGACTCCACCAGTCATTGTGACCCCTCCTCTCAAGGTGACTCCTCCCCTCCGTATTGCCCGGCCTTTATCAATGTGACCCCTCAATCTGATTCCTCCCTCCGTCAAGTAGAAGGAGGGTCTGCCTCCTCAGGCCAGAGGAGGAGCTGCAGCTGCCCTTTTTAAAGTCAGGTCGGCGTCCTGAATGCGCAAGCCCAGTCTTGGGAAGCTGAACTCGCCTTACTCAACGCTTCCGGTTCTGCCACTGGCTCCTCCTCCAGATCAGCCGAGAAAAAACCAATCAACACCGGGATTTGGTGACGTCATGGTTCGGGGCAGTCGGCTCCCTGCCTAGAAGTTTCCAACATCAGTGAGCCTGCTGCCACCTAATGGCAGAATGGAGGGAAGGCGCGGGCCTCTGGAGTGGAGACAGCTGAAGAAGCAAAGTCTCAACTTTTTCTAAGAAATTTAAAGCACTATATTTCTGTTGCAAACTAAGAAATATAAACAGAGTCTGCATCGCCTGGGTGACTACCTTCTAACCGATTTCTGTCACGCATTTATGAGAGTTGGAACCAAGAACTGCTATTTGCTTTTCAAGGGCTAATGAGAAAGAAATAAAGGTCTTAGATGAAGATGCATCACTTGTTTGGGTTGAGAGAAGGTATAGGAAAGACTGGTGTTGTATAAGGGAAGGTATCACACCAGTGTAGAGAGAGGACAGGGAGTCATTTCCAATCCTTGTAGAGCTAGTTTAGGGAGTCCAACGCT